AAGTTCCAACAACTTCATTTTACTTTCTTTCCATGTAGCAATTTCCACCACCGAAAGCGGTCTCATCTCCGCGGTAACATTAAAATCATCAATCTTCTTTTTATAATAAAAAATCTCATTATTTTCTTTTTCGAACTCCACACGCCTCCAAGTTTTAATGTCTTCTTTAACAAACCTGAGTTTGTCTGAAAGATATCGATCCGCAGCCCCGCCGCCCTTGAAATCATGTCAGACTTGAAAACAACATTAGCAAACTCTCCCCTGCAAAGCCAGGAGTTAAAGAAACGGAAGGGCGGAGGCCCGAAGTCTAAGTACGTGGTACGCAAAAACATGAGAGAATGATCTGAGTATTCTCTAGGGAGAGCAGTGTCCGAGGCAGAAGGAAAAGCATTCATAAAGTTTGAACAAATCAAAATGCGATCAAGTTTGCTAAGTTTACAACCATCATCACAGAAAAATGTGAATTTTCTACCACCCATGTTGAGATCGAGCAAACCAGCATCCCTAATGAACTTATTGAAGGCAGAAACAGTGCTTGGACAAAATGTTGAATTAAACCTCTCCTCAGGCCTTCTAACCGCATTCAAGTCGTCAACAAGGTCCTAAATGGCGTGGCGGCAAGGTCAAGCCTCAAGCCATGGCAAGTCATGGCGTTTTTCAAGGCGTGATAAGTTTTTATACATTAAAAAAGATAAATCACATAATTATAGAATTATATCAAATATAGCAAGTTTTTAGAAGTGTTATATCAACACTTAACATGAAAAAGTTAACAGCTCAATTCTTTCATGCCTAATTGGAAAACAAAAATCGCGCCTTGGAAAAAACTCGCGCTATAACGCGTTAAGGCGCGCTTAACCACGTTTTTTGGGCGCCACACCTCACAAAGACGTTTTGCATGTTTTCGTAACAACTTCTTCATGTCTCGCGCCATGACATGTTATTTAGAACACATTGGTCGCCAAAGATTACCCAATTACGGGGTCTGGAGTTTATCAAATTGATGAGGTTTTTCCAAAGACTTTTCACATTCGCGAGAGCTTGGGTGCATAAACATTGACAATAATCGCCTCTCCTGCAACACCATTCCAATACCCAACAACTGCTAGAAAGAAGCGAGATTTAATGATGGCAATTTCCTAGAATAGGCTTCTGTCCAATAAGTTGATGATACCGCCTGATCTTCCATTAGATTCCACAAATTCAAAACCCACATTTGAAGATCCCCGCCAGTCGCCAAAATCATTAGGTAAAGAGGTCATACGGGATTCTTGAATTCCACAGAAAGAGAGCCGATGCTCCATTTTAAGTCTTTTGAGCCACTCAATTTTATGAGAACTGCTCAAACCCCTCATATTTAGAGAAATTAGATTCATGACATTGTTTTTTTACCACCACCTCCATTGACAACATCTAAAAGCGCAACATTGCCTGTGTCAATTTGAAACCCAATTTGTTTCCCGACATTCATAGTGTGTGCCAGATCAGGGGAGAAAAAAGAGGAAGGAATGGTGGGAGAACCTGGGTTGATTGAAACATGGTTTGACTAGGTTGGAGGAGACTCTTGTTGGTTAAGATCGATGGAAGCACCAGGTTTAGAAGCCGGAGAGATTAAAGAGCACGAGGCCCATCTTTCAACCAAAAAATATTGATAATCGCTACCCAATTCCATTAACGAAATAAATGTTATGCACCAAATCAATGGGTACTATCGCTCTAAGTGACTCGTCTTTTTAATTTTTAATTTTTTAATATGACAACAAATTATTTTTTAGTATTTCCATAAAATCATCTAAGTGGATTTTACCCGAGTAATTTGGTTTCTAATCAGGGATATATACAGTAAAGTCCCAATATTTTCATGGATTTGACATGAAAGTCCGAAACTAGTTTTTTTGACACTAAAGTCTTAATTACCGACATTTATTGACACGATTACCCTTTTTTGCCAGTAACTCGTTTAGTAGCCGGTAATCGAGTTGATGTGGCTACTAACGTTTACCTGGAGGGTGAATCAACACGAGGACATCATTAAATGAAGTAGGGTTAATCGAGAAGGAAAACCTCTCTTTCTACTGCGACGGTTCTAGGATTTTTACTGTGAGGGAGATACGAGTTCGAGTCTGAGGGAGATACGAGTTGGAGCCTTGAATATGGAAGGTGTGTTGGACTTTGGCACAATCGGCGTGGAACTAGATGAAGATCTTCTAAAGAAATAGAGTAACAGATGTACAAATGATTTCTTGAACTCACTGTGTCTTGACGATGAAGATGAAGACTTCCTAATCCCTTTATTGGAGAATGTTGAAGATTATGAAGCACCTATGGAAGAAGATGTTGGGTTTTGGTATACTACAACATCCTATGGTGCACATACAACCCTAAATACCTTGGATCTATGTTTTCTCTATTATACATGCAAATGGTTTCCAAGGCATTAAACCTATAACTAGCATGCATTTGACATAAACCATATAATATACTAGTTAGGGAAACATACCTTTTATGTGGCTTGAAGTCTTGATGTATTTGGCCTTAAGAGCTTAGCACCAATAGTATGAAATGCCTCAAATGGAATCACAACACACCTAGGACAAAGGTGGCTCTCGAGAGAGAATTCCATGCACCAAAACACCTCCATATTTCTCTAAGAAAAGAAGTGGTGATTTTGGCTATGGAGTAACCTATTTATATGTAGGATTCCAAGGGTCAGGGGTATAACCCATAATCCATACCCATGGGTTTTATGATCCATGGTTCATGTGGCCCAACTCTTTATGTATCCATACATAAACTTGGTCCAACATGGATCATAAGCCCAACACATATAAATATAACTAATTATCATAATTAGTCCCCATAGATTTAATTAGTCTCTTTTGATCACTAAATTAATTCCAAATTAATTCTTGATCGATACTAATTAAAACATATGATTTCATATTAATATATTATAACTTATAATATATTAATAAACCATAAATAATCTTCTCTCAAAAGTCCATCCTAACAAATTGTCCTGATGATATGCAACCCAAATGGACCATGCTACTCTCGGGTCAAGTACATACCAATAATAGTTATGGGCTTAGACATCTAATCCAACAGAAGAAACTTTGGATGAGGAATAGGAGGAGGAAGAAAATGTAGATGAAGCTATTGATGAAGAGGAAAATGATAGTGAGGCTGAGTTTAAATATTCCACCCATGATCCAAACGTGAAATGAAATAGAATGAAACCTCAAGAGGGAGAAAGGTATGAATATCCATAGTAACTTAAACTTTGTTTAACAAATCATGCCATATCTAAAGGTTATCAGATTAGGTTTAATAAATATGATAGTGTTAGACTACATTGTGTGTGTTCTACTGATCCTGGGAACTTCAGTTGTCCTTATTATATTAAAGCATCTTGGATGAGCACAGAAAAGTCATTCCAAATAAAGAAAATGTATCCACATCATACACATGTCAAGAATTTTAACAATGGAAAACTTATGGGACCAACATGGTTAGCTAGACAATTCCTTAAAGAATTGATTAGGACACCTAATCTGAAAGCTAAGGAAATCCAAGAAAAAGTTCAACACAAATTTCACACTAAGATTTCATGGGTGAGGAGTTATTGGGCTAGATGTAGGGCATTGTCCATGATTGAGGGAAAATTGGGTGATCATTATGCAAGGGTGTGGGATTATGGTGGTGAATTGCTAATATCCAATCCAAAAAACATCATTAAAATTTGTGTTAAAGACAACAATGATGGTACAACTACTTTCAAGAGGAAGTACATATGTTTCAAGTCAATCAAAGAAAGGTGGAAGATGGGTTGTAGGACTTGATAGATCTTTTCCGAAAGGGCAGTGTAAGGGACAATTATTAATTGTCATAGGTAGGGACCCAAATAATCAAGTTTATCCCATAGCTTGGGTTGTGGTTGAAATTGAGAATAAGTATAATTGGAAGTGGTTCCTTCAGTTGTTAGAGGCTGACATTGGAATGGATGCAGGAAGGGGAATGTGTGTAATTTTAGACCAACATAAAGGTCTGCTTGAGGCAACAAAGGAGGTGTTACCATATGTTGAGCACGGAAAATGTGCAAGGCATATCTATGCCAACTTCAGGAAAGTATACAATGGAATTGTGTAATTTCAGACCAAATAGGAAGGTGATGTGTTTCCATCTACAATTAAGAAAATGGAGGAATTTGGTGAAGACTTGAAGTAAGTTCTCATTGTTTTGTATGCATTTATGCTAAGTTATTAATAACTTTTATGCTAACTTACTAATAACTTTTATTTTCAGGTTTTGGAGGATACACCCTAGTGGGAAAAAGGAATTTGAAGTTAGAAATGGCTTTGAATCATATAGAGTCAACATATAGAAAAGGGTTTGTGCATGTAGACTTTGGGATGTATCAGGGATACCATGTCTCCATGCCCAAGCATCTATCATGTTAACTCACCAGGATCCAAAGACATTTATCAGCAGGTGGTTTGGTAAGGCAATGTACATTTCAAGTTATAGTTCCAACATTCTACATGTCAATGGCATTAATTTATGGGAAGAAGCTCCTTATATTAAGCATTTACCCCCCTTAGAAAGGAGGATGCCATGCAGGCCTACTATGAAGAGGAAAAGACATGTCTCAGAGAGGGATGACAAGTTCTCCCAAGTGTCCTCAAAGAGCATAACTGTCTAATGTCAAAACTGTCAACAAAATGGACACAACAAGAAAAGCTGCAAAAATCCACATGTTGAACCAGATCCTAAACTCAAGAAGAAAATAGGCAGGACAAGATTGGACCCTATTCTAAACTAATGGACAAGATTTGGTAGAGGGGGAGAAGGGGAAATAAAGGAGGTGGTAGGGGTACCCAGAGGTGGTGGAGGGATACCCAAAGGTGGGGGTGGCTTTCATAGCTAGTTTGAAAGAGGTGAAACCTCAAATACAGTACCACCCCAAAAAAAGGGTCGATGAAGAATATGAATCTGATGAGATGGTGGATGTAGATGTTGTGAGTGATGGAAATGGATTGGATATGCAACATATGGACTATATTATACAAAAAATTGCACAGTTGAGGAAATCAGGTTACAATGATGTAGACATTATGAGATGCCTTGGAATTACAAAAGCTCATTTAGAAGAGTTTGGATATGTGGTAAGGTTTCATTTAGTGTTGATGTATATAATTCAGTGTTTTTTACTATTTTTTTATGTTTTAGGTTGTCAATGTTGAAGGTGAAACAGTTCAAGGGAATGGAGTAGAAGGTGGAGTTGAACATGGACATGGAGATGGAGTTGAAGATGTCCATGGGAATGAAGAAGAAGGTGGATTGGAAAGAGATAGACAAGGAGATGAAGTGGAAGGAGGTGGAGAGGGAAAAGGTAATGAAGAAGAAGAAAGGGAAGTAGAGGGGAATGAAGAAGAATATGGAGAAGAAGGAGAAGGAGACGGAGAAGAAGATGGAGATGGAGAAGGAGATAAAGGAGATAGAGAAGGGGATGAAGTGGAAGGAGTTGAAGATGAAGATGTTCAAGGAAATAAAGAAGGTGGAGAAGGAGTTGAAGTTGTTCCAGTGAATGATCCAGTACATGAAGGGCATTTTGGGAATAATGTACAACAAAGGACAAGGAGAACCCTCAGAGAGGATCATTCTTCAAAAGCTGAAAAATAAGGTGGTTGACCCTCTTGGTATAGGAATATCTCAAGATAAGGCATTTATTTTAGATTAGGGATAGGGGTATATCAATTTCGTGCATCTCATCTTTTGGTTAATATTATGTAAACATTGTTGCATGTCATATTTTGGTTCATATTTTGTAAAAGGCGGTATTATGTAAACTGATGCATATCAGATTTTGGTTCATATTTTGTAAATGGTGGTACATATCCACCTATATTGGTTCATATTTTGTAAACACTTACTGGTAACTAAGCAATGGTCAGAATTGGTCAATGTCATATTTTAGTTCAAATTTGGTTGTGCAGTATGCCTTGGTCAATGATAGTTTTATTGTTCATATTTGGTTCATAGTAGGTTGTACTTTGATTTCGTCCTAATTCATTACAACATAAGTAAAATGTTGATTACATTGCAAAAGAAACAACAACATCGTACATAGTGACTACATTGCCTTTACATCATCTTAAAATACAAACCAAAAAATAAACCCAAAATAAACCACATCATGGACCACCCTGGAACAACACCACCTGCACCTTGCACTTGAGCTGGAACAACTTCTACTACTGCTTCTTCTATTTGTTCTATAACATCTCCATTCCACCCATTGTTGCAACATCCATAAAATTCATGAAAAATTTAAACTTTTCAAAACCAATCCAAAAATCATCATTGTTTACAAATTAGTTTTCAAAAACATGTTTAATATCAGAATTATCCCAAAATCATAAAACAAAATACGAGGAGGTGCACGATCACGCCTTTGCCTTCCCGCGATCATCTAAGGTACCTGAAACATAACCCAAAACTATAAGCCCAAAGCTTAGTGAGTTCCCCCGAAATACCAACACATCACATAATCACAATAATAATAGCAAACAACATGCATACAGAGCCTTCAGTATGACTGGAACACCCCACCAGCCTACAGTCTACCTGGTACGTTCACAGAACCTACAGCATGACTGGTACGCCACACTGGGCCTTCAGCCTATCTGGACCGTTCTCCGGGCCTTCGACCTGACTAGTACGCCCCACTGGCCTTCAGTCTATCCAGACGGCCTGGGTCTGTTGGCCTTCAACACAAAGCAGGACCGCCTCAACCCAACCATACATACACCGTGTCGACACACATATATAACAGACAAGCATACAAATAACCAGCCAATAACAAACATACAGATCTTACAGATCACTAAGCATACCATCATCATATCTACTAGGATACAGATCTAACAGATCACTACAGTACACAATCATACGATAATCCATGATAACAATCCAAAATGCCGGCCTTGGTGCCTTCGACCCGTAAGTACAATGAGGAAAACTCACATTGTAAACTGAACCGAAATGATAAGGCCCGACTCCGAATCTCAGCTCTCAAACCGATACCTATTTCCACCAAATGACCAATTTCATCAAAATCCCAAAATACCCAAAATACCCCCAAGGTCCAACTTGGTCAAAGTCAACTGGTCAAACCCACTAAGTCAACTGAGTCAACCCAGCCGAGTCAACCCACCGAGCTGACCCAGTGCGAGTACGCGGGGCGTACTCCGGAGGTACGCTTAGCGTACTCCAAGCCTCACATTGACCACCATCGGGGTGGTTGACCGAGTACACGGGGCATACTTCCTCTTACACGGGGCGTACCCTCGCACCACCCAAAATCCCCATTAAGTGCTTAATACAACAAGTCCAAACGTCCAATTTTAGATCCAAACCTAAAAAGGTGTTCCAAACCATAAAGTTTCCAACTTTATGGTTTTGCATGCCTTATAAGTCCCAAAACCAAGATCCTAGTTTGTCTTAACCACTTAAGACCTCTATAGCTTGCATGCATGCACCAAGTGAGCCAAGATAGCATTTTTATCACTTAATGCACCTCATTTCTTCAGAAAGGACAGATCCTTTGGTCTTAGAGTAGCTCATACTCATTAAGGCCAAGAAAAGGGACTAAAAACACATAAATTCCTCATGGCAAGATCTTAACGAAATACAAGTCAAGATCAAAGCTTTATACCTTCTGGAGCTTCTCAAGAAGGTAAGAATCCCAGATCCACAAGTTTCTCCCACACCAAGGCTCCTCCAAGAATCTTCTTCTTCCTTCAATACACCAAGAGCATACACTTGAGCTCCATAACACACACTCAAAGGTTAGGGTTTGCAAAAACGTCTCAAAGGAGGTGGAGGCTGAAAAGGTGGGGAGAAATGGGCCATAATGGTGCTTAAATACCCCTCAAACCCTAAAATTTAGTGTTTCCTCCTGACATTAGTACGACCCGCATACATAAGTGTACGCTCACCATACACACATGTACGCTTGGCGTACTTCTCCTGCCCAAATTACGAAATTGCCACTAGGGCTTCAAAGCATAATTCTTGGACTTAGAGACCCATTTGACATAAAATAGAATTAAAGGGATGAATTTAGAAGTACCTGAACTCCGGGATTTTACAATTGTGTAATTGTAAGAGCAAGTCCTTGTACCACTTATTAGGGAGTGGAGGATCCACCCAATCAAAGAATTTGCAATCCCTACTCGAATCCTGGATAATCCAAGATTAAAGAAAGGAAGAAAAAAAAAACTAAAAGATGAAGAATTTCGACATTAACAACTAACCCTATAATTTGGGCATCTAATGAATATTCTTCCAAGATTTCCTGTCTTCCATGTCTTCCATGAAGTCCAACTTCCAACAGGGTCACTACAGTCGCACTGTGTCCTTTGAGGGGAATTGAACCTTCTCACAACCCTGATTCCAACAGATGAAGAAGACGACGTTCTCGTCTTTTCCTTTGTAAAATACGGGGCTAGGGTTCATGGAGGATTGAAGGTCTGGTGCTTAAGTAAGGTCGAAAACTCCACATAAGCCTCTCATTTAATGACTCACTGGTCCACGTAAGCTTTTGGTACCACATCACCAAGTAAACCGGCTGCACCGGCAAAAAAGGATAATCGTGTCAATAAATGCTTGTAATTAAGACTTTACTGTAAAAAAATTAGTTTAGGACTTTCGTGCCAAATCGATTAAAATATTGAGACTTTACTGTATATATCATTTCTAATTGTATGCGATTAGTTTAGGGTTTTCGTGCCAAATCGATTAAAAAATTAGTTTAGGACTTTCGTGCTAAATCCATTAAAATATTGGGACTTTACTGTATATATCAATGCTTGTAATTATACGTCTTGTGTCCACGTGTATATTTTTTAAATTTTAATATTGTGATTGTAATCATTATTATTTGTTGTTATTATTATAATAATCAACGGAATCAATTGAAAACCTAAAACTGGTTCATCGTCTTCTGGATTTTGTGTTGCTATAGAAAAAGATGAGAACCTCCTTCCTTCTGAGTTCGGAGTGATGATTGTTGCAATCATATTCAACGATTCCTTTAGTCATCTTCATAACAAACCTAAATTTTATTGATTATAATAATAATAATAATAATAATAATAATAATAATAATAATAATAAATCAAATTAATTATTATGATCATTGTGACAAATTTTAGATATATCCACATGGACGTCACGGACACAATACGTATAAAATTATCCATATCAAATGCCACGTAAAATTAAATACCAAGTTACCCGATTAAAATAATAAAATATATTCGGACAACTTAATAATAATATCAAAAATAGTTTTTTTCTTCTGTTGAATATAATTAAAATATAAGTGATTTAAATATGACAGTTGTTAAGGACTATTTTATAACATTAATTTTTTTTACCATATGCTATGTTATGACAATGTTTGTTGAATCTAAACAAGTGTGAACTATGCATTTTACACGCTTCGTTAATATATGATTCAATTGGATAAAGTAAACCACAAAAATTCAAGTAACAATTAAATTATACAAATCAATGTAGCTGATACTTTATAACATAAAACTCGTGTTCAATAATGTATAATTTGACCAAAAACTATTGAAAAATACAATGATGCCAAAAAAAACCTTAAAGTCAAAAACCTTATCCCTTAACCTTATGGTTAATGTTTTCAACATTCAAATTCTTCTTCCTTAATTTTATCGCTTCATTTTCTTCGTTTCAGATTTAAATCGAATCAACAAAAAACTGATTCGATTTAAATATATTTTATACCAATAAAATTGTTTTTTTTCAAAGGTATTTGAGTTTTGGCTCAACTCATGTACGAAATCTATGAAAAGTTTGTTTCTCAATTCTCATATGGACCAAAACAAGCTTCAAACATTTGTGCTATTAGGAGGTGACACCAATTACTTAGTAACATCAAAGATATTCAAAGTTATGATTTTTTTAAACTATATTGGAAATAAATTCAGCCTAAAGAAGTAAAGGTGGACCTAATTAATATGTACTGCTTAATTCGCTTAGTCTGTTTGTCACAAAATTGCTCGTAAGAACATAAAAAATAGAAGCTTTTTCAGATTTTTTTTCAATAACTTTTTCTAAAAAAAACTTTTGAAAATGAAAACCTTTGATTGTGTTATATATATATATATATATATATATATATATATATATATATATATATATATATATATATTAGAACTTGCTAATTAACAAGCTCTAACCAATAATTTATTCATTTATTGTATGAGACCCGTAGATTTTTAACCAATTGTAACGAAACAACATTTAAAAACAACTAATAAATAAAAAAATTAAAAAAAATTAAAAAAAAAATCTCTCATAGTGTAAAAGATAGAGTTTTATTGAAAGTTTTAAATAACGTGAGACGTGTCTTGGCGGCAAGGTAAAAGTTAAGCCATGACAAGCCTTGGCGAGCCATGACGTTTTTCAAGGAGTGACTATTTTATATATATTAAAAAAGAGAAATCATATAATTATTGATTTTTATCAAGTATATCAAGTTTTTAGAAGTGTTATATTAGTATTAATATAAGTTAACAAAAACTCAATTATTTTAGGCCCGACAAAATAAATCAAAAACAAAAAAAACTCGCGCCTTGAAAAAAACT